TGAGAAATTGTGCGTAGCATACATTGTGTACTTCGGAAACTGAATAGAGACTTCGTGTGTTACTGAGTCAGGAGTACCTGTTTCCTGAATTTACCTCTGTCACTCAATTTCCAACCTTCCATATTCTTCAAGTAGGAATAGAAAAGAAAAGGGAAGGCCAGTAAGGAGTATAAACAGAGATGAGAAAACAGAAACCATCAGATTTATCTTCGTGATTAGCTCTGGAACACTGGAAAGTTGTGTGTCGATGGGAGCCGTTCCCTCCTGAAGCGGAAGTGAGCAGAGCTGACTAACAGCGTGAGGACAGACCGTGCGTTGGCGAGGCCTGCCACCAAGCGCTTCCTTCCTTCTGCCCTCCTGTCCTCCCTTCCCCCGTCTTCCCCTCCTGCGTTGGTCATTGAGTTCCTTAGTGTACCTGCCAGTGTGCCAGCGGTGACGAGCAGGGGGTTAATCAGCCACGCTCGTCCTGCCTGTATAGCCTATTGGGTTGGGGGATAGAAAGTTAACAACTGTGCTCTCGGGTAGGGAGTGCTGCAGTGTGGCTGGGTGCAGGGGGGCTTCAGAGAGCGGCCCCTCTTGGTGGGTGCAGAGAAAGCTTTCTGGATGAAGTGATAGTTCCCTGCGATTTGGAGATTTAGTGGAATGACTGAATGTGGGTGGAGAGGGAACTCCGGGCCATTAATGTACACAGGGTTACATGGAGCGAGACACGCATTGTATTCAAAGGAACGATATGTCCCCATGACGATCGCTGAGAAGTGGGAAGCAGAGGAAGACGAAGCTCTGGAGTCCAGTGGGGCCCCTCAGCCACTGCCAAATTTGGGGTTTATCCAAAGGAGTAGGTTGCAAAGAAATCCAACTGGTCAGTAATTGTCTACTTGGACTTAATTAATGAACACTGAATTATCCCATATGACCCTAACTGGTCATCTGAGATTTCAAATAATGAGTTTTAAAGTCTATACTTAAAACATTAAAAAGATACTCAAATCGCTAGTGCTTATAAAACTTAGTGCTCTCTGAAGACAGTGTATTTCCACGCCTGGATTTCATGGCCCGCAGTTTGTATTCAAAACTAAACGGAAGGCTTGCCACGAAGAAGCCCGGGCCTGCTATTTCTCTTACATCATCGCCCTTGAGACTGATGGTTGAGTTGCGCGTTAGATGCCGGCGAGTCCCATCCGACTCAGAGCCGCCTGAGAGCAGGAGACGAGACGCTGCCCGGCTGTGTGCTGGAGCGTGGCACTCTTGCGGAGCTCGTCTTGGGCAGAGGCAGGATTTCGTAGGAGTTTTAGGGAAAGCATCGCCGAAGAAGAGCCCCTTTGGCTGGATGTGGGAGTGTCACAGCAACACAGGCACATTTACGGGAGTTGTCAATTATTTTAAAAACTATTTTCTACTGGTAGACCTTTTCTAGCAACATACATTTTCGATATCTTTATAAGAGTAAAATTGATCTGTGCTCCATGACTTTTTAAAACGTTTTCCTTTAAGGGAATTATTATTTTTATTATTTTGCCATGTCTCTTGTAGTTGAGCCTCTGATGTCTCCTACCTTCTTGCTGAAATACTCTAAACAAATTTCTTATTTTCGTTTGTTAGGTTTACTGCCTCGAGAAGTTTCATTTTTCACCCACAGGAATCTCTTTGTCTTTCCTGATTTTAGCCCACACACTGTTTGAAATACTGACTTCTTCAAGGGGATGTAGAAACAGCCCGTCGTTGTTGTTTTCTTGCGAACACCTTGAACTCTGTAGTGGGGTGTTGGCGCGCATCGTCTGGTCTGGATCGGAACCCACTCGCTAGCTGCGCGGCCTTGCCGTCTCGTGGGCCTCTCTCCTCCTCAGTTTCATTCTGTGAGGATAATGGGGCCTTGCCTCGCCGCACTGTTAGCTCATAGGGACTGCTGAAATAGGAAGGGCTCCCGGTTCCCGCTGCGCACCCACGAGCTCAGGCTGCCGCTGATACTGACCCACTCACTCCCAGTGGGGAGTCAGCCTTGGAGGGATGGCGTCACACAGTGGTCAGCCTCCTCAGCATCAGTGTATAAAGTTACAGTAAACGCCGGCAAGACTAACCCTCTGGAGCCGGCTCACTCTACAACCTCTGCAATAGATACTCTCTCAGTTTCTGGCGGGGAAAGCAGAGAACCGCAACTCCCGTCTGTTTTGTGATTGAGTGGTTTGTTGAAAGGAGCGTTGTGTTTTTGCCTGTGAAAGATAGAACTTTTGGCGTCACATAACAGGCTGAGTGTTAGAATCACAGTGTCAGTTGTCAATCCCTTTGAAAGCAGACGGCTGCGCTTGTTCCCCCAACCGAGTCCGTCGCTGGTTCGGTCCCGGTTTCGTAGTGGCGCTCGGGCAGGCCTGACTCGACCAAAGCACGGGCGGCCGGCTTAGGGGTGAGCGCTCTCAGGCGAGTATCCCCGATTCCTAAACAGATTCATTCGGAGACGCGGAGCTCGGACCTCCGTGCTGCCTCTCCCGGTTCCGGCAGCAGCGGTCGACATCAGTGCTTCTCAAACCCCTTGAGCCTGTTCGTGGCTGGGAAGCCGTAGGCAGTGACCGCCAACTGGTCTGCGGGGTTAGCTGGTGCTGCAGCTCGGTCACCTGTGCTGACGAAGGAGCCAGCGGGCCTCCTGCGGCCCTGGCCGGTGAGCGTGGCGCTCGCGCTGCAGGGGTAGCTCCAGGGGTCTCCGGCAGCGCACAGGCGCCCAAGACGTCCGCGTCTGCTGGAGCCGTAGGGCGTGTGCCGGCGCCCAACCAGCGTGCGTTGGAGCAGTGTGCTGAGTGACTGGGTGTGCTAGCTTGAAGCTGGGGGTGTAAGAGAATGGGTACTGGTCTACGGATGACTGAATGTTAACACGTTCCTGGCATTGTACCTGAGCACTCGATACCCCAGTTAGCTCATTCCATCCTCACGGCAAGTCTGTTTGAGAGCAGCTTTGATTCCCGTTCTGTGGATGGGTAACTGAGACCAGAGAAGCGCCTCGGTGAGGTCACCCAGGGAGTGAAGCTGGGGCGGCCTCTGCCAGGCTGTGGGCCTGAGGCTGTCCCCTGGGTGAAGCAGGGGCCTAGGGAGGCCGAGTGGGTGTGTGCGCAGACCCGAGCCTCGCCGTTGACCAGAGAGGAAAGCCATGTCAGTGAAAGGTCCCAGTTAGCCAAGGGCCAGACGCTTACACAGCGGAGCTCTGGAGGTGTTTCAGAGAACAATGTGCACAGAGTATGCTATTCTAAAATTTCAGACAAAAATTGTTCTTTTCCAGTCTTTTCAACCATTCTCAGATGAGCTTTGATTGCATGCGTGGATTTGCATGAAGACAGACTCCTTGGGTTTTGCCCGGGGGTCCTCCAGTCCTGGGCCCACGGCCTTCTCGACTTGCCGCTCTGTTTCTCACCGGGGTCTGAGGGTTAGATGGGCTCCTGTGGCAAGCCCTTAGAATAATAGCGAGGGCCGTTTCTGGCGGGGGGTGTCGCCTGTTCACACGCTGTGCGCTCGGTGGCTTGTGGACCCGTCTGGCAGGCTGGTTCTTCTTCCCCTCCCCTCCGCTGCCCCAGTCTTGTGCCCTCCGCTCCGTCTTTCTCAGCTCCTTGCTTTACATCTTTTGTGTGTTTTACGTATCTTTGTAAGCCAACATCAGCCTTTTCTGGACTAGGGTATGTATGTGTGTGTGTGTGTGCACATGTGTGTGCACAGCCTGGGGTGTGAGGGTGACCCAGGGTATGAGAGAGTGTGTGTGGTGTGTCCGTGTGTGTGTGTGTGTACAGCCTGGGGTGTGAGGGTGACCCAGGGTGTGAGAGCGTGTGTGTGTGTGTGTGTGTGTGTGCACAGCCTGGGGTGTGAGGGTGACCCAGGGTGTGAGAGCGTGTGTGTGTGTGTGTGTGTGTGCACAGCCTGGGGTGTGAGGGTGACCCAGGGTGTGAGAGCGTGTGTGTGTGTGTGTGTGTGTACAGCCTGGGGTGTGAGGGTGACCCAGGGTATGAGTGTGTGTGTGTGTGTGTGCGTGCACACATGCATCTTCATTACAGAGCTTTAGCACCATTAGCAGACTGACTTTTGTCTTACCTACTTATCCCTAACGTCTGGAGCAGTAAGTGGAAGATGAGTGAAACACAGTTGAACAGATGACTTCACATTTGCCAGGCATTTTGTATATAGCTATCATTTTCCTCCTGATTCTTCCATTCTCTAAACCAAAAGGAAATCCAGTCTGTCAGTTTTTATTCCAGAATGATACATAGAACTGAATATAATAATTCATGTGTGATTCGATTCACACTGAATAAAAGGAGCCACTGTATTATTGCTTTTATCTTATATGTATTTGTCTATTACGTACCTGAAGTACCATGTGGCCCAGCCAACTTCAGACTCACTTGGTATAATACTGTACCTCAAACATGTTACCATTAAGCTAATCTTTCCCACTTGTACTTTTTTTTTTTTTTTTTTTTGCGAAGGCTTTTTATCAGACCTTACATACTGCTCTATTAAACTTATTTTTTAACATTCATTCCATCATTTCAACGTTGACTGTAAGTTGTCCCCTTATCACTTTAATGCTTCCTCATCTCCTGTACGTGGAGATAAGAAGCCAGCTCTTCTCTTTCTGTTACATTGCTTTATCCGTTGGTCTAGGAATAGGAAAAGAGACAATGAATTTCACATCTTAAGATGCACTCCTAGCAAACTCCGTACTCTAGCAGTGATCACTTTTAAGGTCAACCTCGTCTTTCTAGTCAATTGTCCTGAACCCCACTTGGTTTGACATGCTCTGCTCCATGTCTCCTCTTGCCATTTTCTTGAAGATTACAACTGTGTTTGCTAGTTTCCGTTCTCAGAACTCCTTTTGCTTCTCGGAAGCCCTCCTGTCCCTCACCACCATTAGATTCTGACCAGGAGACTTGAGCTGTCTCAGAGCAGCCCTCCACTACTAGATGCGATTGCTGTCAACGGCCCACACGTGACCTGAGCGCCTGGCTCTTTCTCTTTCCTCCCAGCTGGTTGGTGGCGAGTTCGACTTAGAGATGAACTTCATCATCCAGGATGCCGAGAGTATAACGTGTATGGCGGAGCTCCTGGAGCACTGTGACGTCACCTGCCAGGCAGAGATATGGAGCATGTTTACGGCCATTCTGCGGAAGAGCGTGCGGAACTTACAGACTAGCACAGAAGTCGGGCTCATTGAACAAGTGCTGCTGAAAATGAGTGCTGTAGACGACATGATCGCAGGTATGGGGCCACAGTGCAGGAAGTGTCGTTGGTTTATGAAGATTCACGTATTTTTCTTTAGATTTAGTAGGCAGTACAGATGTGTTGAAATGATCTTGACTTAAAATATATAAATAGAAATGTATGGTAAGCTTCATGTTTTATACTAAGGAAAAAGTTGAAGAGTGGAAGAAGACTTCTGGATTAGACACACACTGTTACTAATTTTGTTTTGCTCATTTTAGAAAACCTCACTACTGAGGCGTAAGTGTTATGACCTCGATCAGAAAAATAATTGTATGTAGTATTTCAGGGAACTTTTACATAATTAAACTGGACACACTACAGCACATCTGCTGCAGTGTGACGAGGGCTTGCCCAGTCTGCCTGTTCCATACTCCGGGGGCAGGCACGTCGGACAGTGCCAGGGAGGCACCGAGAGCCCAAGGGGTCCGTGGCGTCTTTCTGAAGTGTCCATTTCACGTCAGTATTTGAGGCAGACTTTTGTATTAAATGACATATTAGGAACTAGAGCATATTATCTGCATGCCATCAGGATTAGACTATTAACGTGTATGCTTGTTGGAGTCCACTGAAGCAGCCGCTTTGGAATCCATCCTGGTTCCTTCCAGCCCTTTCCTTCCCTGCAAGTTCATTACCCTTTATGTTAGATGTGCTGCAGTAGGAACCCTGCGAAAGCAAGGCCTCGAGCAACAGCGTCCCCAGACAGTCGCTTACGGCTCGAAATGCCACTTTGTTGAAGCCGTAGATCTTCAGCGTCAGTATCTTCTGCCATAACAGGGTTGTAGTCAGTTCTGAAAGTGCCGACATGGCGGCTCAGCCATGCTCTGCTTCTTGAAAGGTGTGCAGATCCTAGAAGATCCTCTAACATTTTGACTCACGTATTTAATGGGTCTTCATAGTTTTGGAACAAAAACATTAAATAAGAAAGAATAGAACAAAGATGGATCGAAAAGAGTGTTTGTTTTAACGGAAATAATATTTTTAAAAGTTTTTATCCCTCACAGAATTTCTTACAGCCATGTCTGATTGCTTTCAAGGGGACATACATCTCTGTGAAGAGTGAGTTAGCTGTCTTATATCATACACTAATGGCTAACATGACAAAAATGAGATTCAAATTTACATTTCTTTAAATCTTTTAAATAGAGACATGGTACCATTATCTGTGAATTCTCACAGTTGTTCAAAAGGAGTTCGTACGTTAGAAGCATGCACGTAGAAATGTTTAGTAGACCATCACGTCATCTTAAATCTTCATGTCTCAGTTTGAGCCTTCATTAATCTATTTGGGAAAATAAGTTGGCTACCACTATATCCTTTTTACACTGTAGAGGATGAGCTAGACTTCGTGCCTTGCCATACTGGCACATAGTTGGTGGACACGCGGCTGTAGATGTTTACATCCGGCCTTTTCTGCTATGTGAACCTCCTTCATTCCCTTACCCCTTCTCCTCAGTGGTAATGATGACAATACTTGTTATTTTAAGCATTTTCCTCTTAAAGAGCCTGGTGTTGAAAAATAAGAGAAAAGAGAATGAACACCAGAAAAAATACTTCTGCCTTATTTTTCATTATAGAAATGAAAATTTAGATACCATATTATCGAACAACAAAAACCCCACAAACCAAAACACATTGTCACAGTGCCCCTAGTAGACCGAGCAGAACTGCCCCTTGCAGTTTTCAAGGCTGTGAATCTTCATGGAAGAGGACTGCCACAGCTTTCTCCTGTGGAGCCGCTGGTGGATGTGAACTGACTTTTGGTTTAGCAGCCTATGGCCTCAATCACTGTGCCACCTGAGCTCCTGGAAGACTCCACTAGTCACTGCTAAGTTTTTGTTTCTGGGCATAGTGCAGCATGTTGATTCTCTGTTATTGTGCTGTTGAGTCAATTCTGATTCATAGGGACCCCATGCCCCAGAGGGTTTCCTAGGTTGTAACACTCATGGCCACAGGTTGCCAGGTCTTTCTCTCACAGAGTGAATGTTTGATGGCTTTGAACTTCTGGCCTGTTGCTTAACAGCCAAGCACTTAGCCACTGTACCCCCAGAGCTCCTCTGTTAGTTTAAAGATGTCCATCCCATTATATAATGTGAGAAGCATCACTAGAAGATGGTTACACACATATAGTAAAATGATCAAAGAAGTTTTAGCTATTTCATACGGGTTTTTTAAAACAATATTGTTTTCCTGTAAAAGAAAGCCTACTACAATAATGTTAAACTGCATTGCCTGGTTATATGTACAAGATATAGGACATTTCCTTCAATTCATTTCAATAGGTCAGTAGTTCTGTAGCATACAGAGGAGATGGCTAAGGGCTTGCAAACAAAAGTTCAATCTAAGACAGCGACATTGTAGGGCAATGTTAATAGCCATTTGGTGAATTCAGGTTGCTTTCAGAAGGCTTCAGATTAAGTCAGCATTTCTAAGAAACTTTTTTTTCTTCTTTTTATAGAATTCTTTCTTAGAAACAAACCTCTAACTCCTGTGGAATTGTAAAAATGTATGTTTCTTGAATGCTGAAAAATATTTATTTCATTAAAATGTTCTCCTTCATGAAAAGGACATTTGTGTTGTCACAGGTTTATTGTAGGAATTGCTTACTTATTGTGGCTTTAAGAAGGAATTTTTATTGATTGATGAAAATAACCAGATTAAATTTCTGATTTGGAATACATAAATAACTGTTTTTCAAAATCTTGATATTAGATAGTATACTGTAAAAGTCAATAGCTTCTCCTACACTGATTTTTACATTGCTGAGGATACACTGTCTAGAGTACTTTACATTGACGGAAGATACACTGTGTAGAGTAGTTTACATTGACTGAGGATACACTTTGTATAGATTTTATACTGACTGAGAATACACAGGTATAGACATTGACCGAGGATACAAGGTGTAGAGTAGTTTACATTGACTAAGGATACACTGTGTAGAGTAGTTTACATTGACAGAGGATATACTATGTAGAGTAGTTTACATTGACTGAGGTTACAGGTGTAGAGTATTTTACATTGACCGAAGATACCCTGTATAGAGTAGTTTACTCTGACCGAGGATACACTGTGAAGAGTAGTTTACATTCACGGAGGATACACTGTGAAGAGTAGTTTACATTGACTGAGGATACACAGTGTATAGTATTTTATATTGACCGAGGATACACTGTGTAGAGTAGTTGACATTGACGGAGGCTACACGGTGTAGAGTAGTTGACATTGACGGAGGCTACACGGTGTAGAGTAGTTGACGTTGACGGAGCCTACACGGTGTAGAGTAGTTGACGTTGACCGAGGCTACACGGTGTAGAGTAGTTGACATTGACGGAGGATACACGGTGTAGAGTAGTTGATGTTGACGGAGCCTACACAGTGTAGAGTAGTTGACATTGACCGAGGATACATGGTGTAGAGTAGTTGACATTGATGGAGGATACACAGTGTAGAGTATCTGTGTGTATTGTTTTATAATTGCTTGTGTAGCATCTTGAATTCTTAGGAAGTGTCTTAACATCTGAGAAAATGAGGGGTAACTACTGAGATTCTTAATTCCTTGAGAAGAATGATTGGCAGAGGTACCACTCACAATGTCTAGAGATTACCAGAGACAAGAAAATGAAATGTGTAATTTTTCTCATTATTTGATGAACTTGTGTGTCTCTTATGCACATAAATATATGTATTAATGTGATGGAACCACAAATTTAAATCACTCTCTCCCTTACAGACTAGAGGCATGAGGGAGCCCTCTGCTCTGCTGCCTGGGTTAGTCATGACCCCCCCTTGGTAGAGGCCTGTTCTTTGGCAAGGTGATGAGGGGCTCTGTGGCCCAGTTTCCTCATGTTCAAAGAACATGATAACAATCCCTACCTCATGGGCTTGTTATGAGGATTAGTGAAGCAAATGTATGTCCTATGTGTAAATTACTTGATTAACGCCAGGTGTGGAGTAATCACTCAGGACTTGTTACTGGGCCAGGGAATAGTTCAAAAATATTTTTAATAAGAATAGATCATTTGAAAAGAAATACGATCAACTCTCATTTTTCACTGGAAAATAACCAGTTAGCCATGTTGAATCTTTGTGCTTTTGCATGTTTTTGCCTCTTTTACTCTGTGTACAGCAGAGGTATATAAGAAAGCTTAACTGGAATGGTAGGTACATCTAATAGGGAAAATTACATAATTCAAATACGATCTTTTTGGCTATCTGATGACTTAGAAAGTTAATCTTTTTATTAGAATGGTTATTGTTATTCGTGGGGACATTAGCTATATTTTAGATGTATCTCTATCTCTCTGTCTCTGTAGAAATGAAATGACAATTTTTGCTCTTTCACAAAAGTGTGTTACCTTGACAGATGGCGACTCATGACTAGAGTTCAGAATAACTTTATTTTCCTTTGAAGATCTTCTAGTTGATATGTTGGGGGTTCTTGCCAGCTACAGCATCACCGTCAAGGAGCTGAAGCTTCTGTTCAGCATGCTTCGAGGAGGAAGCGGAATCTGGGTAAGCTGTGGTCAGAGGGAGCGATGGTGCTGCATCGACGCTTAATTAGTGCTTCCTGCTCAGGCACTCCCCTCTGGGGGACTGTGGGCTCCAACTCCTAATGGAAATGGAATGTTCCTCTTAAAGAGTTTGGTAAATGATTTGAAATTAGTTTTCCATTTAGTTAGGGAACAGTCCAGTGCCTAACGTGCTGTATTAGGTATGACTGCTAAATTTGAACAGTAACATTTCTTTGTTTTATTCTTTCCTCAGCCAAGACACGCAGTAAAATTATTATCAGTCCTTAATCAGATGCCACAAAGACATGGTCCTGATACTTTTTTCAATTTCCCTGGTTGTAGTGCTGCGGTAAGTTTTAAATGCATGTCATTTCTTTTAATCCTTAAGTAAGATCTATTAAGGAATAATTTGCATAGAAAATTCACCAATTTTGGAAGTACGGTTTGATGAGTGTTCACGGTGAATACCACAACAGTCCTGACACAGACGTTGCCAGCATGCTCCAAAATTCCCTTTTGTGATTTGCAGCCAGTCCTCCTTCCCCAGCTCTGGTCCCTGGCCACCTCTGATTTCTTTTGCCTTGATATGGTCTTGCCTTTTCTAAAATTTCATGACGTGCAGTCATGCAGATTGTAGTCTTTTGTCCTTCTCTTTCCTTCAGGTACCAGAACGCTTTTCAGGTCATTTCAGTTGTGGGCATTGGTGTGTTCCTTTTGTTCTTAGCCTTTCGCTGGTTGATGGACATCTGGGTTTCAGTGTCTGGCTATTGTGTATAACACTGCTATGAACATTTTATTGGTGGTGGTATATTAAAATGTATCTTGTTAAGCCATGTTTATTGGGATGTAATGGTAGAAACCTTTGAGCACAGGTCTTTCTCAGGGCAGGTCAGAGTTTGCATATTTCTTAGGTAGATACCTAAGAGCAAGACTCTTCGGCATTGTGGTTGTTGTATGTTTAATGTCATGAGAAGTTCAAGTTCTTTTCCAAAGTGGAGGCGCCCCTTTGAGTTCTTATTAGCAGTACATGAGCATCCCAGTGGATCTGCATCTTTCATAGATTGATATTGTCAGTCTTTTAAATTTGAGACATTTCAGTGATTATGTAATGGTACCTCATTATAGTTCCGATTGGCATTTCTCTCAAGGCTGACAATGTGTTGGACATTTTTTCATGTGTTTGTTGGGCACATTTACATCTTCTTTTGTGATGCCTGTATTCAAGTCTCCTATTCATTTATAACACATTGGGCATTTGCCTTAGTATTCTAAGTTCTTTATATATTTATGATGGAATTTCCTTTACATGATACGTATTTTTCAAATTTTGTTCCTAATTTGTGACTTGCTTTTGTATTTTCGTAATGGTATTTCTTAAAGTTGTTGTTAGGTGCCGTCGAGTCAGCTCTGACTCACAGCGACTCTATGAACAGCAGAACGAAACACTGCCCAGTACTGTGCCAGCTCCACGATCCTTGCTGTACGTGAGCCCATTGTTGTAGCTACTGTGTCAATCCATCTTGTTGAGGGCCTTCCACTTTTTCATTGACCCTCCACTTTTTTTAGTAATTGGTGTTCATTGGTGTTCACTGTATCAAATCTGTTCTTTAGACGGTCTCTAAATTCAGGAGGGATATATTCAAGGTCAAATTTTGGCTCTCATGAACTTCTTTTAATTGTCTTCAACTTCAACTTGAACTTGCATATGAGCAGTTGATGGTCCATTCCACAATCAGCTCCTGGCCTTGTTTTGGCTGAAGATAGTGAGCTTTTCCATTGCCTCTTGCCACAGATGTAGTCAGTCTGATTCCTGTGTACTCCGTCTGGTGAAGTCCACATGTATAGCTCCCATTTGTGTTGTTGAAGAAAGGTATTTGCTATGAATAAGTCATTGGTCTTGCAAAATTCTGTCATGCGATCTCCAACATCATTTCTATCACCAAGGCCAAATTTTCCATATACTGGTAATTCTTCTTTGTTTCCAACTTTTGCATTCGAATCACCAGTGATAATCAGCACATCCTGATTGCATGTTTGGTCAATTTCAGACTGCAGAAGTTGATAAAAATCTTCAATTTCCTCATCTTTGGCTTTGGTGGTTGGTGCGTAAATTTCAGTAATAGGAAATTAACTAGTTTTCTTTATAGGTGTATGGATATTATCCTATCACCGACAGCATTGTACTTCAGGATAGATCTTGAAACATCCTTTGTGATGATGAATGTCACCCCGTTCTTCAAACTGTCATTCCCGGCGTAGTAGATCATATGGTTGTCTGATTCAAAATGGCCAAAACCAGTCCATTTCAGCTCACTAATGCTTAGGATATCAAGCTTTATGTTTTCCATTTCATTTTCCTCAATTCATACTTTGTACATTCCATGTTCCAATTATTAACGGATGGTTGCAGTTGTTTCTTCCCGCTTTGAGTCATGTCACATTAGCAGATGGAGGTCCCGAAAGCTTTACTCCATCCACATCGACTACTCTGATGAGGCAGCCCTTTCCCAGTCGTATCTTGAGTGCCTTCCGACCCTAGGGGCTCATCTCCCAGCACTGTATCGGACAGTGTTTCAGGGCTATTCATAAAGTTGTCCAGTAATATATCAGACAGTGTTTCACTGCTATTTGTAAGGTTTTCGCTGGCCAATTCTTTGAGAAGTGGATGGTCTCTTCCTTCTTCCGAGTCTGCCTCAGTGTGGAAGCTCTCCTGCAACCCGTCCACCATGGGCAACCCTGCTGGCATTTGAAATACCAATGGCACAGCCTCCAGCCTCACAGCAACACATAAGCCACCATAGTACAGCACACTGACAGACAAGTTCGTCTCCCTTAAAGTCGAACAAATTTTTAATTTTGATGAAGTCTAATTAAAATTTTTTGTTTTATTTGATATGCTTTTATATTCTAAGAAGTCAGTCTAAATCAAAGTCAGATTTTTTTTCTCTTCCTATTTTTCTTTTTAAAAGAATTTCTACAGTTATGCCTGTTACACTTATGTTTGTGAACCCTTTTGTTTGTATGTGTGTGTGTTGGTGTAGGAATATGTAATTGTTCCATTACCCTTTGTTGAAGACACAACTTTCCACTCTGGATTGCCTTGGTACCATCCTTAAAAATTAATTGGCCATTTTTTTATGAGTCTCTCTCTTGACTTTCTATTCTGTCCTATATTTTTATTCCTATGCCAATATCACTTTGTTTTTCTTATTTTAGCTTTATGTTATTAGTCCTTACTAGGTGCCATCGAGTCATAGTGACCCTGCGTCCAACAGAATGAAACACTGCCCTGTTCTGTGCCAGCCTCATAACCCTGCTAAACCTGAGCCCATCATTGCAGCCACTGTGTCAATCTATTTTGTAGGGGGCCTTCCCCTTTTTCGCTGACTCTCCACTTTACCAAGCATGACATCCTTCTCCAAGGAATAGTCCCTTCTGACAATGTGACCAGAGTAGTTGAGACGAAGTCTGGCCATTCTCACTTCCAGGGAGCATTCTGGCTGCAGTTCGTCCAGTAATATTTGTTAGTTCTTCTGGCCGTCTGTGGTACCTTTACTATACTTTGCTAACACCACAACTCAAAAGCATCAACTCTTCTTCTGTCTTCCTTATTCATTGTCCAGCTTTTACATGCATATGAGATGACTCAAACACCGTAACTCAAACACCATGGCTTGAGTTAGGTGCACCTTGGTCTTCAAAGAGACATCTTTGCTCTTTAGCACTTTAAAGAAGTCTTTTGCAGCATCTGATTTCCTGACTGCTACTTCCATGGATATTGATTATAGAACCAAGTAATATGAAATCTTTGACAACTTCAATCTTTTTTCTGTTTATTGTGATGCTGCTTAGTGGTCCAGTTGTGAAAATTTTCCTTTTCTTGATGTTGAGGTATAATCCATAATGCAGGCTGTAGTCTTTAATCTCATCAGTAAGTGTTTCAAGTCTTCTTCATTTTCAGCAAGAGAGGTTGTGCCATCCGCGTATCACAGATTGTTAATGAGTCTTCCTCCAATTCTGATGCTGTGTTCTTCATATTGTCCAGTTTCTTGGATTATTTGCTCTGCATAAAGATTGAGTAAGTATGGTGAAAGGATACAACCCTGATGCACTCCCTTCTTGATTTTAAGCCATGCAGTATCCCCTTGTTCTGTTCAAATGACAGCCTCCTGGCCTATGTACAGGTTCCTTGTGAACACAATTAAGTGTTTTGGAATTCCCATTCTTTTCTATGTTATCCATATTTATTATGATTCACAGTCAAATGCTTTTGCATAGTCAATAAAACACACGTAAACATCTTTCTGGTATTCTTTGTTTTCAGCCAAGATCCATCTGACATTAGCAATGATATCCCTCATTTCACATCCTCTTCTGAATCCAGCTTGCACTTCTGGAAGTTCTCTTGTCAATATACTGCTACAACCATTTTTCAATTATCTTTAGTAAGATTTTACTTGCATAAGATATTAATCATGTTGTTTGATAATTTCCACATTCTGTGGGATCTCCTTTCTTTGGAATGGGTATAAATATGGATCTTTTCCAGTCAGTTGGCCAGGTAGCTGTCGTCCAAATCTCTTGGCATAGCTGAGTGAGTGCCTTCAATGTGGCATCCATTTTTTGAAAAATCTCAGTGGGTATTCTGTCAATTCCTGGAGCCTTGTTTTTTGCCAATTCCTTCAGTGCAGCTTCAACTTCTTCCTTCAGCACCATTGGTTCTTCCACATATGCCACCTCCTAAAATGAATGAAGATCGACCAGTTCTTTATGGTACAGTGACTCTGTGTATTCCTTCCATCTTCTTCTTCTTCTTTTTTTTTTTTTAATTACTGAGATTTGGGTGAAAGTTTACAGAACAAATTCACTTTCCATGCAGCAGTTCACACACACGTTCGTTGTCTCATGACATTGACTGAAATTTCCCACAGTGCAACAGCTCCTCTTCCACTTCCTCCCAATAGTTACCTCTTCCCTGTGTCCATCCCTCCATGCACTCCTGCCCCATGAATTGTCTCCCTGTGCATAAGCAGCCCTTTTTTCTCCCATGATTGTTCTCTCCAAGGAGCATATCTACCTCAGGTAAATGTTCACATCATACACCTGTCTTTTGTTTGGCTGGAAGCCACAGGTGTGGGTTCAATTCCAGATCTGAAGGGCAGCTAGAGGCCATAGCCTCAGTGCTTCCACCAGGCTCTATCAGACCAGCAAACCTGGTCACTCCACCCCCCCCCCCTTCTCCAAATGATTTTGAGTTTCGTTCCACATTGTTCTCCCTCTCTATCCAGGATCTCTACATAGATCTCCCTCTGGGAGGTTGACAGTGGTAGCTGGGCACCATCTAGTTCT